TTATTATGTACTCACTTTGTGCCTTATATGGTGCTTTGAATACTTTATATGTACTTAATCATTTAATCATCAAAATAGCCCTATATTATTACTCTCATTTTAGAGATGACAGAATTGACCCAGAGAACATAAGTCAGTACAGGTCATGTCAGAAAAACAGAATACTCCCTAAATATTTAAATCAAGGGATACTTAATCCAAAGAATTAGCTATTTAGGTAATGAAAGAACTAAGAAGCCAAAGAGAGACAATGAATTAAACTAGTTTGGCAACAGCAAGAAATCTTTATGACTCTTAATTTGGAGGAGTGATGGAAGGAGAGGAGGTAAGATTTACGGAGCCCAGGGACCTGCCTCAACCAGGAGGAAGTTGAACCGGAATAGGCCAGAATTGGTGAGAGCTGGACCCACCAAAGAGCTATAGCCTAAGAAGTCATCCAGGGGGAGAGGGAGGAGAAAGAGAAACACCCTGGCTTCTCTTTTTCTCTGACCTTCCATTACCTTACCTATGCCAAATCTATTTGGAAGCCAGCTTACCTGAGAGCATGGGACATGCAAGGATAGTCCTTTCTGTGATTCAGAGCAAGCAATGACGTACAAGGAATATACTAAAAGCAAATAGGCTAGGATTATGCAGAAGGTTTAAGCAATTTGCCCAAGATTACAGAGCTATCTGTCTCTGGGTTGTTCTTTGGGATTTGTGTATATGTAGCAATCATGTGCTCTGAATCATGTACTCTATCCCCTGTGGGACAGAGGTCTTAAGAAGTGACGTTAATCACTTTTGACTACATACTTTTCTCTGTCCATGCACATTATAGGATACCGTCAGGGAAATGTGTGCCTACCACTATGGAAGCAGAAGGTAAGAAGTGAGGAAGAGTCTGGGAACTTTAAGTCATTTTCAGTGTCACAGTACACTTCTGGGCTTGCTTAAAGTAAGGGGAACAAGTGATTCATGCAAGAAATCTGTGCTTTTGTGCTGGCTCGCAGTTGATAAAGTATAGCTTTTTCTCCATATATCTGGAGACTTTCAAGGTAGATCTTGCAAAGAAATAGTTCACATTAGATTGGATTCCTTTTTCAATTCACAGAACTTTTTCCCCAAAACTATTCCAACTAGAAGTATGAATATTGACAGAAAATGTGGAGGCACTATTCTTTAATGTTTTAATGCATCTCTTACTAATCTAAGAGGTTATGGGATGGGGCAGGAAAAGGAGTATTTGATAGTACATTGGTATGAAGTATAGGATTAATCAAAGTAGATTGAATATGACCGCCATGGGCCAAACTGTGTTCCCCCAAAATTCACATGTTGAAGTCCCAATCTCTAGTACCTTAGAATATAACTGCATTTGGAGATGAATTCCTTTTTAAATTATTTTTTTTAAAGATTTTATTTATTTATTTATTCATGAGAGACACAAAAAGAGAGACAGGCTGAGGCAGAAGCAGGCTCCACGCAGGGAGCTCAATGTGGGGCTCGATCCCGGGACTCCAGGATCACAACCTGAGTCAAAGGCAGATACTTTAACCACTGAGCCACCCAGGCATCCCTGGAGATAAATTCTTTACGAGGTGATTAAGATGAGGCTGTTAGAATGGGGCCCTACTCCAGTATGACCTTATAAAAAAAAGGACATCAGGGAACTGTGTGCACAAAGGATCAGCAATATAAGAAGAGGCAGCGAGAGGATGGCGTCTGCAAGCCCAGGAGAGAGGCTGCAGGAGAAACCAAACCTGCTGGCCCCTCAATCTTTGACTTCCAGCCTTCTCAACTGTGAGAGAATATATTTCTCTTGTTTAAGCCACCTGGTCTGTGCTATTTTGTTATGACTGCCCTGGAAAATGAATACTCTGAGCAAAGAAGCAACATCTGGAGATTCTCAGTGTCTGAGGTATTATAGCTGATAGCTGGAGATACCAATATTGATGTGCTTTGTCAGATAAACAGTATGGCTGCCAGGACTACAGAGCTGTCCAGTTAGAGTGAGAAGTTAGAGTTAGCCATGCCCTACAAAAGCATAAACTTGTCTTCTCTCCTTCATGACTGCCCCTTTAATTCAATAAGCTTTGTGTTGTACATGTATTAGGCAGATAGTACTCGTACAGGTTCTAATTTATGAGCGCCTTATCAGCGAATGGTTCCATCGTGACATCATCGAAAAGCCTCCTCTTTCAATGATTGTTTATGGTCACCTTATTGGTGGAAATAAAATCATCCTAGAATGTCAATATACCCAAGGAAGGAAAATAATTCTGATCCTCTTCAAGAGGAGAGTTAAGAACCATTCTTTTGCAGAGGAAATTGTTCAAATCTACACTGTGAATTGATGCTTATTTCTTACTCTGGCTTACAAATGTGCTTTGGCAGTATATTAGACTTTTGGTGTTCAGAAATGGATTTTCAAACTCATTCTAAACAAAGAGAAATAAATAGTCAAGATAGAATGAATACCAATTTCCTTGGTTCACACAAGGCACAATACTGAATATCGTTGGAAACATTATTTTGATCCCACATAGAAAAACAGACTTGGTGTTAAGAACTAAATTTTTAATTTAGTTTTTTTAAGAAAGATTTTACTTATTTGAAAGAGAGAGCTTGCACAAGTAGGGGGAGGGGCAGAGGAAGAAGCAGACTCCTCGCTGAGCCAGGAGCCCTACTAGGGCTCTATCCCATTACCATGACCTGAGTCCAAGGCAGAGGCTTAATGAACTGAGCCACCAGAGGCCCCTACATTTTTAATTTTAATGAAATCTGTCAGTTTAACTGTTTACCTGAGTGTCAACAATCCAGAGTAGTACAATTTGGGAATTATTAAATAATATCCTGAGGTTATATGCTTCCAACAATCATATTAAGGCTTATTCATGAACAGAAAAAACTGAACATTGGGACAAATTGCTAAAATGAATTAGGATATCTGGCAGTGTGTCATGTGTGCAAATTTATCTCAGATTTTCACATTTCCATCCTCTGTTCATTCTAGTATGCTTTCTAGAAAAGAATACCTATAAGGACACTTGAAACTTTCTCCTCATACAAAACAGTTAAGGTCTTAAAAATTTCAGTAGGAAACCACTAGAGGTAAGCTGGAAGTAAATGATCAAAGTGGGCAAATATGACTATCCTATAAAAACGTTTATTTAATAATCACCTAGTAACCACTGGTAAAATAACATTTTCTGTGGAACTAACAATTTAACTCAGAAAAACAAAACTAAAGTTTAGTATATGGCAGTATCTTTTTAAAATCATAGTACTACATTTTTATGTTAAAATTAACTTTCTTATATTCAAATGTCATGAACTGGATAGAGTTCTTTTTTTTTTTTTTTAATCCATGATAGAGAGAAACATGAAGATGACGTTGGACAGAACTTCGGTCTGTAAATGAGGTAAAATGGGCTCTAGTTTGCTTTCTTTGGCAAGTAGCCTTCTTTGAGTCTCAGTGTTCTCACAACAAAACTGTGCATTCTAGGAGAGCTATTGCATCATTCCTAAAATTCTGTGTTTCCAACCACTTCACAACTTTTCAAATTCCTCCGGTGAAAACATAGGATATCAATAGAATTAAGTCCGTGATATGTCAAAATCAAATACATATGAAGACTCCAGGGAAGGATCTCAAATGCTGATTGAAAATATCTGAGGTGTGAAGCAAAGACGGCTGTGAAGTGCACAGATTTGTTACAAAGCCTTGAGAATCACTATGATCCACGATTATCATATAAAACCGGATAATATCTCAGTGATCATTCACTAAGCTTGCTTTTCTTGCCATCAGACTGAAAATTATACCCGGATTTGCATATGTGTGTAATGCATTTATGACAAGATGGACTGATTATTCTGCCCCTCTCGTTGCCACACCCTCACCTCCTATCCCCAGATGAGCTCGCGAAGCTCAAGGTCTTTTTGAGAGCAGAGATCGCCTTCTCGATGTTAAGTTTTTCTTTCAACTCCATATACGGTCAAGTTTTCCAGGCAGGAAGGAAGGTTCACTGCTAATTGTTTGACAGCTGGTATGTCGGAATTACGCGCCACCCGGGCAGGGATACTTTTGTCTGTTGTATAGACCGTATTTCATTTTTATCAGATCTTCAGGAAATAACCCTTATTTCTCCAGAGCCTCGCAACGACTGGTAGGCACCTGTTTGCGTGGGTGAAGCAGACGGAGAATATCAATATTCATTTATGTAGTGATCGGTTAAGGAGAAAAGTACATTCCAGCCTAAGGACTTCTGACAGCCCTTTGCTGAAGTCACACTTGACTTCTTCCCTCCGGGCAAGTTTACTGCTTGTGAAATTCCTAGAAAGGCGAGCGGGGGGGGGGGGGGGACCGGGGACCCAGAAAGGAGCCGGGCTTCGGGACGTTACCAGGCTCAAGGGGAAAGGTTCTGTCTCGGAGGAGTCCGGAAAGCTGGCGATCCGAGCAGTCCGGGCGCCGAGAGAGCGCGGCCCTCGGGCCCGGGCTCCGAGCCTCGCGGAGCCGAGGGGCAGGCCCCGCGCAACCTGCCGCAGGGGCGGCTCCGAGGCAGAGCCCGCGGGGCGCGCCCTCGCCCCGCCCCCCGGGAACGCGCAGGGCGGGGCGGGGCCGGGCTGGGGGCGGGGCCGGGCCGGGCCGGGCCGGGGGCGGGGCCGGGCCGGGCTGGGGGCGGGGCCGCCCCGCGGGTCACAATCTAGGGTTAGGGCGGCCGGCGGGCGGGGCTCGGCGGGGGCGGAGCCGCCGGGCGGGGGAGGCGACGGCGGTTGGGGGAGGGGAGGGGAGGTGGAGCCGGGGAGGGAGGAGGAGAGCGCCCTTCCGGCCCGCCGCTCCCTCCGTCCCCTCTCCCTTCCCCGCAGTGGCCCGCGAGCCGCCGGCGAGGGAGCGCGCGCGTGACGCGGCCCGGCCCGCTCGGCCCCCGCCCCCGCCCATGGCCCCCGCCGCCGCGGAGCAGCCGCGCTGAGGCGGGCCGCGCGAAGTCGTGGGGCTGCCGCCGCGGCCCTCGCCGTCCGCGCCTCGCCGCCAGCCCGCGGGGCCCGCGCACGCACGCCGGCCGCCATCGCCTTCGCGCCTGGCTGGCGGGGGCGCTGTCCTCCCCGGCGGTCCGCGCCGCTCCCCGGAGCTCGGCGGAGCGCGGCTGCCAGGGCCGGCGGAGGCGCGGGGACCCGCCCGCCGCCGCCCGAGTCGCCGCCGGCGCCGCGGGGGCCATGACCGTGGAGCAGAACGTGCTGCAGCAGAGCGCGGCGCAGAAGGTGAGGCGAGCCCGGAGCCGGCGCGGCCGGGCCCCGCTCCTCCCTGCTCCCGGCCTCCCCCTCCGCCGCCCCGGGCTTGCTCCCCCGCCGCCCGCCGCCCGCCGCCCGCCGCCCGCCGCCCGCCGCCCGCGCCTTCGGGGCGTCGCGCCCAGCGTGGGGAGTGGGGGCACGTCGTGGGTCTCGACCCGCTTCCTTCTTGCCGATCGCTTTCCTGCAGCCGACGGTGCCCGCTGCGTACTGCGAGCGACCCTCCCGTTCCTCACTCCTTACGGGGCTTCTGAATTAAACTTTATTCACCTCCTTCCTTTTCTGAAAAAAAAAAAAAAAAAAAAAAAAAAAAGCAGCCGGTTGTCATCCTTCCTGAACACAAACACTCTGTGTGTCGAAGGTGGGAGCGTTCCAGGCCTGCTCTTTTGCAGAAGGGATCTCTACTAGAGTGGAGTTGCCTGCTTGGCGGGGCAGGTACGGCTACCAGGTGGACTCTTGTGTTGGAAAGTAGAGGATTTGGTTTGTTCTTCTTTTCCCTTTTCCTCTTTCTTTCTCTCTTTCTCTCTTTCTCTCTTTCTCTCTTTCTCTCTTTCTCTCTTTCTCTCTTTCTCTCTTTCTCTCTTTCTCTCTTTCTCTCTTTCTCTCTTTCTCTCTTTCTCTCTTTCTCTCTTTCTCTCTTTCTTTCTTTCTTTCTTTCTTTCTTTCTTTCTTTCTTTCTTTCTTTTTCTTTCTCTCTGAATATACACCCTGCCCCTACGAAAGGAGACCTTTCTGGCCATGTTTATTCCAGGGATCTTTTGTCTGCTAAGTTTGACCTTATTCCATCCTTCACCCTTTACTCTTGCCTCAGTCACACATTCAAATGGCCACGTAAGTAAAAAAAAAAAAAAAAAAAAAAAGAATCTGAAGTGTGCAGCTTCAGATCTTTCCCAGTGAGCGGTGAGAGACATTCATTTTATTGGAGATTTGGGTTCCAGAATCTCAAGTGCGTTATCATGGCTTGCACCATATCTTGAAGTGTTGGCTATGACTTGTTTTTTTTTTTTTGTTTGTTTGTTTTTTTTGGCATTCTGTGAAAAGCATTTTGGGCAAAAGGAAAACATTGCTTTAGTCGTGTTGAGATTCGGGGAGTCACTAGGGGTTTACTGGGAGCAGCGACCAAAGCTGTGTTTGGCTTATCTGAGCCAGTAATGAATGCCCCACCCTGTGCTAGTTTTGGCGTCGTTTGTATCCTACCTGTGCTTGATTTCAGAACGAGGCCTGCTGTGTCCTAGAGTGGACGGTCTGAATACCCACTGCTAAGTTTTTGCTTTGAGATTATTTTTAGAGTTCTAGATAGTACTTGAGGTAATTGAAGATGCTCAAGAATTTTGGAAAGCAAGGATAGCGCATTGTTATTTTAGGCACTTTGGGAAAGTTGTCTTTGGAACTCTTGTGTGAGTTAACTGCTCCTGGCACATTCAGAAGGTTGTTGCAGACTGCGATTTATTTACCGTGAAAAAGGATTCTAGATTTACTAATGGGAGTTCAGGATAGTTTATCTTCTACTCCTTGTATTCTGTTTTGAATATCTTAAACTTTAGTTTTTGATGTTTAAGTATGTGATAAAGTGTTAATACTTAGAGCAGGACCTTGTGTTCATATGTATGCCAAGCAGGATTTAATAGGTTTGGTATCGTTTTTTGTTTATAGCTCTCTTCAGTGTTGAATATTAAAGCCTGGTTATTGTTTGAGAGTGGGAAATGTGGCTCCTACTTTTCACATCTTTTAAGTTTGAACAATGGTAAGAAGTTTGTGAGTTGCTTTTTTTTTTTTTTTAAAGTTGACTTTTTCTAGCGTAGAATCAGATAATGCAGATCTGCCTGGTTCAGAGGTTTATGCATAAAATCGTAGGTTCTAGAATCAAATTACTGAAGATGATCTTGGCCATCAAATCCAGTTTCCCAGCTTCATGAGTCCCCTCCTTACACAAAGGGAATAGTTGTTGATCCAAAATATTACTATTATGATGCTATTGTTAGTGTATGTGTCAGATCTTTTGGGATACTGGGGAATTTTTATTGGAGCGATTTTTATTATGCATTTATTTTTATATTTCCATAATGGCATTTATGGGGTTTTTGAAAAGAAACAATGTGTTTATTTACTTTTTTTGCAGTAATATACTATTTGTTACTCAGAACTGTTTAAAAATGTTTATTTAGGTATAAGTACTTTAAACCATCCATTACAGATAAATTCATAGGCTTAAATTCACCAGATTAGTAACTAGGAAGCGGACTACAAGCTAGTAACTAGGAAGTGAACTTCATACTTTAGAAGAAACAAAAGTGAAACTCTTTGTTTTCACTTAGAAACTATGAATTATTATGAAAACAAGAAGTGTCTAGTGCATTTGCATAATCAAAATTTAGCCTGTTTTCTGCTCTCCTTAAAATTATGCGTGTGAATGCACATATGTATTAGTTTTATGTATGTAGTTTTATTCTGGAGGTTGGAATAGTTTATTATATTTTCAAGATTTTTTATTTCCAGAAGGATGATTAGTAATAATGATTTTTAATTAATTAATTATTTATTTGTTTATTTATTTATTTATTTATTTATGCAGCACAACACAAAGCTTTCTTTCATAGGTCTTTTGTTCACCTGCAAAGTAGCTTGCCATGGTATAAGCCAAGGGGCTGGCTTAGCTATCTTTTCCTCTGATGTGTTCTTTGCTTGGTTGTTGAAGTTTGGCCATGGCGGGGAGTTATGAGATGTAATAAAACTGCAGAAAGCTGCTTTTCTGAGGTTTAGGTGATACAGGTTAGGTGGAGTTGGTGGCAGATTAGCTCCCATTAAATCCTGTCCATAATCTTAGTCTTGAACATACATGTATCTTCTTTTTCTTTAAGATTTTATTTATTTATGCATGAGAGACACACAGAGAGGGGCAGAGAGAGAAGCAGGCTCTCTGAGGGGAGCCGGATGTGGGACTTCATCCCAGGCCCCTGGGATTACAACCTGAGCCAAAGGTAGATACTCCACCGCTGAGCCACCCAGGTGGTTTCATGAACATGTAGGTTCAACATTTGTACTTTATATTTGCCTAAGTGTAGCATCCTTAGATCTCAAAAATTTGGTACCTATATATAGCTTCAGGTTCCAAATGAGGATTCCTTAGGGCAGCAATAGCAGGCTTCCTCCTAGGGACCAAACTGATGTACAGAGTGAAGTGAGCTGGGTACTATTTACATTAAACGTATTTTTCTGAGTTGGATAAAATATAAGGTTTATAAGGGTAGGTATTTTGCCTATTTTGTTTCATTATAGAGCTTAGAATAATGGTGTCTTGCACATAATAGGTTTCAGTAAATATTTGATGAGTGAAATAATGAGTGAATGTTTTCTAAAAGGAATGCAAATGCAGTAATTTAGTTTCCTAACTGAATATCAGGATTTAATTATTGAGAAACCATGGACTACTGTTGGAATATAGGCTACTGTAGTGAAGTGTGGGTTGGACCTAAATCACCTTTCTGGGTGACCTTGCACAAATCATTAATTGCCTCTGAATCTTCCTTTAAAGCCTTAAAGTTAGTATGATTTGACAGGAACAGCTCTTTTGGATCTGAGTGTTTTAGTGGAGCTAAGCATGCATTTATTTCTGGACAGGGAGGACAAAAAAAGAAATACTAGAGGGTGGAGGCAGAATGAATTTTATGGATCAACAGTCAACTTTCACTTAATTACATTTGGGGATCAGGTGGGAAGGATGTCACAGATCAGCTAATTTAAGAGTTAAAGCAAAACTTGGAAAACATTAGAAGCTGGATCCAGGGTAAAGTTTTTAGTTAAATTATGTAATATTTTCTAATTTAGGTATCATTTATAGTTGTGAAAAATACAGTACAGCATTTCAAAGGACAGTGAATGTTATGTAAATCACTGTAAACATCACATAAAAGGGATATTCTTTAGTACTAAATAGTTGATAATGTTGTTATTAGCTTAAGACTTGGTTTGGGCAAAGAGGCAGGGATTCAGCTACGTATTTCCTTATTCCTTTTCTTTCTCACCTATTTTGATTTGTATACTGACATTGTATCCAGTTGCCTTAATGAAGTCTCGTTAGTTTTAATAAATATTCTGTTGATTTTTAAAATATTCTATGTATTATAGTTTGTGTCATTTGCAAGTAATTATCATTCTGACCTATTCCTTGTTAATACTTTTTTCTCATTTTTTTATTGCTTTAGTTAAGATTACAGAATACTGCTAGGATTAGTGTTAGTCTCTGTTGCGCATTGTTTCATTATGATATGGAGATTTCCTTATAGTTCTAAGTTTTAAAATTTGTTTTGAAATCAGATTTAGATGTTGATTCTTTATCAAATGTCTTTTTCTTTTTTCCTTTTGCAATGATTGATGTGATAATTTGTCAAAAATAAAAACAATTGTAATAGATAACATTTGGAATATGTTATATATACCTATGTTAACTAATTGTGCATAGAGTTTTCAAAACTTTTTATTCACTTAGTCTTTCCAAGCACATTATTATTAGGTGAGCACTATTTTTTTTTTTATTTCCCTCGGCATCTTGTGGTTGAAGAAACAGTATTAGAGAAGAACTAAAGGAACATTTCATTGCTGTTATGTTTTGGGCGTGGAATTTAAACTCAGGGTCATGAGACTCATGAGCACCTTCTCTTAACCGTTATGTTCTGTTGCTTTCTGTAGTCATGATGCATCCAAATTCAATATAGTAAACTTTAATCTGGAATTTAGTGTCTTTATTCTTAAATGAGATTGGTTACATAGTTTGTTACGTGCATATGGGCTATCAAGGTGAGGTCAGCTCATAAGATTCATTAGGAAGCTTTTTTAGGTTTTCCTTTGCTTTTGGAATAGTTTAGTATAGGACTAAGTTAAATCATTCAAAATTGGTGGTATTTAGCCATTTTCTATCGTTCAACCCAAGTACTTACTACTTTGAACATTTGGTGAATATGACAACGGCAGGCTGA